TGCTTATGGGGCCACCCCCCTCAAATGGCCATAGCGTGCTTTCCTCCTTAGATTCCAGCAGTGCTCTGAGGTGCCAGCAGAAGGCGGCATCCCTGCTGCCAGCTGGGGAAGCTGAGGCCGGAGCTGCCAGGCTTGGTCAGAGCTGCCAGAGGGTGACCCTCCCCACAACCCTGGCACTCTGGTCAATGCCCCCGTGTGGGCAGCTTCCAAGACGGCATTCAGTGATGTGGGCACGTGCATCTTCACGTTACCTCTCCCTGTGGTCTGGGCCGGGGCTGACTCGCTTCTGACCAATAGAAACAGCGGAAGTCATGGGACAGCGTTTCCGAGGTTAGGTTATTAAATGGCTGTGGCTTCCGCCTGGGGTTTCTCTCTCCCTCTCTTTCTCTCTGCCTCATGCAGCCACGTCATGAAGCCACGTGGGAGCACCCCCTGTGTCAAAGGGCTGAGGCCACACGGCCAACAACCAAGTGGGTGAGGTTGGAAGGAGAACCCCCTTCACCTCTCCGTAGAGCCTTCAGGGGAGACCGCAGCCCCAATAACGACTTGGCTGTAACCTCGTAAGGGACCTGAGCCACTGGTGCCTGGTGAGCCAGGCCCAGATTCCAGACCCACAGAAACTGAACTAAGAAATGTTTGCTGTTTTCAGCTGCTCAGTTTGGGGTTAACTTGTTACGCAGCAGTAAGTAACGAATGCAGCCCTTTTACGCCACACGGAGCAGCCACACCTGTCACTGGGCTCCCACCCTTCTCACCCACTTTCTTCACACCAAAGCAGCCAGTTCTCGTCGGGCAGTTGTTGTGGGTTGACTGTGTCCCCTAAATTCTTAGGTTGAAGCCCTGATCCCCTGCACCCATGGAGGTGGCCTTGTTTGAAAGGAGGGTCTTTGCAGATGACCTAGTTGAGATGAGGCCATGAGGATGGGCCCTGATCCCATACGACTGGTGTCCTTATAAACGGGAGATTTGGCCACAGACGGACACCCAGGGAGAACCCCATGTGAAGGCTGGAGCTGCAGGGCTACAGGCCCAGGAACCACCAGGAGCTGGAGAGGACCTGGGATGGACCTTTCCCTGCCACCTTCTGAGGCCCACAGCCCTGACCCGGGACCTACAGTCTGAAGGACATGAGATAACACAGTTGACCCTTAAACAGTGAAAGGGTGAGGGGTGCCAACCCCCCTCAAAGTCAAAAATCTGAATATAATGTATGTTGACCGTCTGCAAGAGAGGAAGCTCACTTCAGCCATGAAGAGAGGAAGGTGGATGAGAGGACAGGGGGAGGAAGATGATAACTGAACAGAAAATTGGGTGGTTAGGTGGGTGGGCAGGTGGATAAGTGGATGGGTGAGTGGGTGAGGG